CCTCTAACCTGAGGAAAGAGTAAAAATCCTACAATTAAAATAGTTAGAGTGTCATTTACTTAGAAAAAGTAACTCTACCCACAGATTATAGAACTCAAGGAAAACATGTGCAAAGTACAACAGGGAGCGTATCATATATCAATTGAGAAATCATAGGAGTAAAACATTTGTAGTAAAGGTAACATTGTCAAACTGAAAGTGGTAAATTGCTTATTTATAACCCACAAAAAAGAAAAACAAGAAAAAAATGTTGCATTGTTAAACCTGTTTCTGTTAATTTTAACCTAATGCATTAAAAATAGAATTCAACGTTACTGTCATTATAGTGTCACAAGTACAAAGCAACAAAATTCACTCTCTGCATGTGACCCATCCCTTTGAGAAGCAGTGGGCTGCCACTGTGCGGCGCCCGGGGAGCAGTGTGGGGTTAAGGGTCTTTGCTCAGAGAGCCAGAGTGGCAGTCCGTGAGAGTGAGGCTTGATGTAAGAACCTCTGGTATCAAAGATCTATGCCCCAACTACTAGGCCACCAACCCTCCTATGAAAATGTATAGTTTAAGTTTGCGACTAAAGTTTTCTTAAAATGCTTCTTTGATGCCACTGCTATGTACTTTCCCTGTGTTTTTCTTACTTTTGTCTTGTTACTGAAACGAGCTATAAAGATAAATCTGCCTTGCTCACATTAAAACATTTGAATATTTATTTTGACAGTTTATGCCAATGTTTTTAGCAAACTATCTTTGGAAAATAAAAATTGTTATAAATATTTATATTTTCTAACCTTTTTCAACAGACAACCCAAAGTGATGTTTCAGATCATTGAACCACCCAGGTATCTCCACTAGGCATCCATAAAGTCCAGCATCTTCCTCAGTGAGGTTCAGGATAATCAGAGAAACATCTCCTTCATCCAGTCGTCCCAGTAGCTGATACCTGCTGGAAACTCTGGTTTTCTTTATAACTTTATATCCATCTGTAGAGATCAGCTTATTGTTGCAGCCTCCCCTGGATGGTATCTCTCCTTTATTCCAGCAAGCATGCAACGCTCCTTCCTTTCTGATATCATATCTACAGTTCAGAGTCACATTCTGACCTGTTTGACCAACAACTCTGATGCTTTCACATCCTGACACTGAAAAACAAAAATAAAGAGTTTAGTTTTACAGATGTCTGTTCTAGAAACTAAAATGTGAATATGAAATCTGTTATGTATCAGTTATCTACCACTTTATAACACCAACTTTGGCTCATTTATACATTTTCAAAAAAGACAGTTAATCATACGTAGTTACCTGATTGATGTTATTTTACAGTCACTGTTATGGTGATAATTGACCTCAGTAACAAATAAAGTCTCAAGTAAAAGATAAATACATCAAACTGAAGCATCTCAGTCTGATTGGTAGACCTTCTCAGCTCATGTCAGATATTATTGTCCTGCTTCAGCTGCATTAGTTCTATTAAATGGTTTCATGATTCAGATTTTACAGACAGATAGCATTACTTTATTGGAAACTACATATAAATAAAATGAGGGAACCACAGACATAAAAAAATCTGAAGAAACACATACGTCTAACTCTTACCTGTAAATACCCCTAACTGGCAGCAGAGTCTATGAAGGTTATGTTAATGAGCTAATTATTGTGCATTTCTGCTTAAAAATAACAGAACATAAAAGTACCTGTAAGGAGCACGAGCAGCAGCAGGACCTTCATGATGAACCAACCATCATCACCCAGCAACATGTTTTTATTCACAGCGGCTGAAACTCTGACCGTCACCACAGCTGCAAACTCACTGCATTAAGAAAGGCGTTCACCAGAGCTACAGCCTGAGAGGAAGCACCAAACTGAGGACATTAAGAGGAAGCCTTCAACAGCATCTCTGTCAGAGAGTCTATTGCTGTTAAAACCACACATAATGTTTCACATTCTTTACATCCTTTAATAATATCCTGAGGACAGAATCAGGTGGTCTTCTTAGTTTCTGTATTACTCTA